TATCATTTTTTTCTTTTATCATTTTCAATAAAATCTCGATCGCACTACACGCTTCTTACATCTCGAAAGAGAGGAACCATATTCCTTTGTCTTCTCGCTATTTATAAAAATAATTTCAAGCCGCCTTCGGGGAGTGGAAGGGGGTAGATGCCTCTTAAAAAGCACCCGCTCGTTTCTTTTTTTTTTTCTTTCTCTCTTTGAACGTTCGCAACGCGACATACAGAACTTAATATTTCTTTCTCCAGCCGCACACGGTACGAGTTTTTCTTTTCTTTTTTCTTTCTGAGAGTCACTTAAAAACAAAAAAAAAAAAACCATGGATATTACCCGGGTATTCACACCTGGATCACACCGACACACAGCAGCACCGTTCTGCGCGCAAAAAGCGCAGCAATCCTTTTCGTCAACGAACATCTCTCTGCTCGTGCATCTCTTCTTCGATCAACGACCAAGTGTCCTCAGCCTCCGTGGAACGTAAATTCGAATTACGTTCGTGGAGTAGAATATCTCGATATACCGCGCGGTAATACCCTTAATTTTTCACTTGTACACGACTGGCATGAGCGAATCCTATCTCTGTATGCGCGAGTCCCAGCGAAACTTCGATAACTATGACAACTTTAAGCCGTATCTACCCCTTAACACAGGATCATACCGCCGCTGAGCCGCTGCTACTGTGGCTGCGATGGATTGTGCTGAAGTGGCGGTGGCGGGCCCTGAAACAGATCGTTCTTCACATAAATATATACGAATCGAAGATAGTTTATCGTATTTTCAAGCGATACGTACAGGCATCGTGGAGAAAGGTGGCTGAGAATGTGCGTGAGGGTGAGGATGAGGGTGAGCTATGTGCGCGGCGAGATGACCGGGTAATTTAGGCCCATCCTCTGCTTTCTCCTCTTCTCTCCTCTTCAAGCACGCTGCCTTTGGATTTAGGTTTCGTTCTGTAAACAGAAAAATGACGAAATTGTTCTGGCATTGTTCTAACATCGTTTAAAAGTTGATTCACGTACCTCTAACTTGCTGTTCCAGCGTCATGATCACTTCGACAGCCATGTTAAGAATACCGAGCTTCGTTTGAGGTTTGTCCGTCTTCAGGTGCGTCATGCACATTCTGCCTAGTTCCTTCAGAGCCTCGTTAATATCTCTGATACGTATCCTAAAGAGATAAATCTTGGTTATACAGTAGATTCTTGATAAAACAGAAGCAAAAGGTTTCCGTCCTTTTTTTCTTTCGCATCGAAACAATGTTACCAGAAAAACATGGAAAACCTTCCTTTCTAAGGGATACTTAGTGTTTCTTTCTTTCTTTCTTTCTTTCTTTCATTCTCTTAAGGAAAAGCCACAGAATGTCTCTACATAATAGCACGAGAGCCCGATCGTTCGCAAGAGAAAGATCGAAAAGGGGACTGCTTCGTCCGTCGCATATCGCATATACATAGAATACGGGCCAAACTCTCCTCGAATCGCATCTCGCGAGAGAACAAGGTGTGGGTTTCTCGCGATGGATTCTCACTGCACACTCCCGTCGATTCTCTTACCTTTCCCTAGCATTGTTCGCCTGCCGCCTCTCTTTCTCCCTTTGCGCCTTCACGTCGGGATCATCATCCTCGTCCTCAGCGCTCGAACAACAGTTGCGCAATAACAATACTCAATTAATCACCTGACGTGGGCGACACTTTGTCCTGAATCGAGTTCGCGACTCGACAGCAGTGAAATCGACGCTTACTTTTTGTCAATTTATCTTTTTTGCTTTTTGCTTAGATTAATCGGCACTGAGGAAACGACGATCGAAAAGAGAAATATCGTTCGGCTTAAGACGAATCGATAGGAGGACTGCGATTGTATCCTCTTTTTGCTGAACACACGCAGAGATGTATATCTGATCGACTTTGTGGTAATGGACAGAAATCAGGTTTCCGTTAACTCGAAGGCCCGTATTCTTTGCACAGAGAACAAACCAGTGATAAAGAATCGAGAAAAAGACGCACAGATCTAACACGCGCAGAGCTGATTTCGTGCTGTTACCTAGAACATTGAGAATTCAGGTGTGGTTTCTACAGGGGGAGGGTTAAATGGACGGATGGATTAGACGATATTTGCGGGATGATGTTGGAACGATGTCAAGTCTGAAAGAAACGTTATCTGCATTATACACAAGAGAGGATCTTTCGTACAAGTCGCCACGAAGTGACAATTTTTTACATCCGCGTGAACGAGGTAGAGAGAGAGAGAAAGAGAGAGCAAAGAATTGGCAGAGTCTAGAACTCGATTCAACAACGATTGAAATAATGCAGAAAGTGTGCTTTGTACAAACAGGTTCTAATTAAACAGAGGAAGAGAGCATGCCTGGGGGAGAGACCGAATCGCAGCTGAATTAAAATGAGACTGATTCGGAGGTGAGAACTATCGATCTTCCGCTTGTCCTTAACCAGAAACATTTTAATTTTCACGTTAGAATACGGGCCTGGTATTTCCCTTTTTTTAACCTTTTTTTTTTTTGTTTTCGTAGGAACGCAAACATGCCATTCGATCGTAATTATTCCATATGGTAAAATTTCGTTACGAATCAACGCGCAAGTTTTCGTAGATGATTCATCGGGCATGCATACGACGAGGAGAGAGACAGGATACAAAAGTCCTGGGACGTGTGACGATGGAAGGATCTCCGATAGGATCGATGGAAGTGTTACAAGAGGAGTGCGTACTGCGTGTGTTCACTAACCTTTCACGCACGTTGTTGGCCTGGCGACGTTCCTTCTCGCGCACCGCTTTGGTGCTGGGATCGTCGCAATCTTCGTCAGCGCTCGAACAACGGTTGTTTGAATGCAATCGATTAGTTTAGGCATACACTTCGATCGAGAGACCGGTCTCGTCGACTTATAGGAAACTAATCCAGCGTTATCAATCTCGAATTACTTCGATCAACAAGATCGAATGTTTACAAATTTTCTGTCACATTTCTGTATCTAACTGTACAAGTTCGAGACTTGGTAACGCTGTATCTTCTTTAAATGGGATTTTTACAACGATCGACCCGTTTCCATTTCACTACTGTCGTTCTATCATCGGTCGCACCTCAATCCCAGAGTTATACACATTCAATATATACTTACTATCTACGCGATCTTTTCGTCCCTTTTCCCTGAGACGTAGAGTTCACCGTGGCCGCTCCGATCACGCCTGCCGCTGCCAGCTCGCTGCTCGAGGGTTTCGTTTCGCCGCCACTACTATCCGGCGGATCCTTTCTCTTCTCTAAAGAGACGTATTCTGTTCGATATTGATAAAGTTTTAAACATTTTCCATCAAGCGTCCGTTGTACTGTTAGAGTTCGTGGAATAGAGAAAGAGAGAGAGAAAGAGAGTTGAATCGTACGAATGAAACACACATATCAATCGCCGCGAAATCCACTTAAGGACCGTCACCATCGAACCGTGACACAGCCGATCAACGTTGGAAAAATGTAACCAGAGCTCACCCGGAAGCTTAACGACCTTCTCCCAACTAGGCGATAGTCTCTCTCGATATTATCCTCGAGCTTTGGGCAGGCTGGTTAGTCACGAAACCGTGAAAAGTGTCCAATTACGAGCAGGAAGCGCTCTATACCAGGCTAGCTACCACTGATTCAACCATCTCCTTAAACGCTCTCCTACTCGCCTGACAATTCGCCGGCGTTTCGCGAATGCATTAAACTTCTGCGCGTTTCCTATGAAAGTCCACGAGAACCAGATAAATCAGTCTCGCGATTGTGTGCAAAGGTCCGTTGGATTTTTCCACCGTTGAAACGCGACTGCGAGCCAGCTATCGATGCACCGAAAGGAAAGTATAGCCAACGTTTTTCCCCGTAGAAAGGACGAGGAGAAAAAAAAAAAAAAGAACGACGTTGAAGACGAAGAAGTAATTGGATCGAGGATTGTAAGAGGTACTACACCGGGTTCAAGTAGGCGGTGAATCGTGCGTTCTGAATTCCAATGGCCAAAAATGGCTAGCAGCGGAGAAAAGAGCAATTCTTTGCGAAAGGGCCTGTCGGGAAAACTTGTGCATTCCATTAGCCAAGCATCGGGAGAGAGAGAAGGATTACGGAGGAACGTTCACCGGCGGACGGTAAACGGCGCGAGTGAAACGGAAACAAAGAGCAACGGAGACAGTGGCCGGGAGACAGAGGTCTCTTTGAGAATAACAAAGGCACGACGAGGATGCAGGATAGTGGCTAGTTCGCGTGATTTATCTAATGTTTCCTTATCGGGCTCTAACTCTACCGTAAGAACACCTGGGAACTCCTTCTCTTCTCTTTTTTTTCCCCCTATCTCTTTCTCTCTCCCCGTGTGTGTCTCTGCTCATGGGAAAAAGTGTTTATCCGATGATGCGACGTCGAGAATAGAACTCTCTGCCATTCCGATTACCTATTGTCAAGGCTCATTGACACTTGTCTTTTACAGTATTCAACGGCAGAGAGAGAGAGAGAGAGAGAGAGAGAGAGAGAGACTTCACTACCATTTTAGCTGATTCTCTTTTTACCCGTGTTTTCTCTATTCCAAGAAACTCTTGAGAAATCTAAATTGTCGGAGAAGACGATTCGTGGACTTACTGGCATTTGTCACAGGTAACCTTTCGATTTTGATGGAGCCGTCTGTGTCAGGTGTGGGCGTGAGGCCGGAGTACGAGCCCTGAGGAGGTTGTGCTACTGTAACCGCAGGATGAGGACTCGTCTGTGGATCGATCAATCGGTTCTCTTAATTACCAAGGAAAACGATCGCGGTAGAAATTTTCTGGTGAAAACGACAGCTTACCAAGTGGTCCAGTTGCGGTGGTGATGTGTGGGAGTAGAGGGAACCGTGTGGACCAACGGGACCAAGGTGAAGGCCTAACTGGCTCTCCGCGTGGTTCCTTAACACGTTTATGGCATCGTCCAGTCGTTCCTCCATCCGCGTACCCTGTACCAACAGAATATCCGAAATTCGTCTCGATTACACAGCTGTTTGGCATTTGTCGGGCATCTACAGAGATACCAGTGTAAAAGATACATCGTTAATTATGTATATCTCTGATCTTTTCCCCCGGAAAATAAAACTCGCCAGAGTATCTTTGACACTGACACAGTGGATTATTAAATATGCGTTTCTGAGACTATGGAAAGCGTGTACGAAGTGTGAGAGAGAGAGAGAGAGAGAGAAAGAGAGAGAGAGGATTCTTTGTTTCGAAAGCTGAGACGTGATTGTGGAAACTGAACGATAGTGAGAAGATTCTTTTCGGCATGCGACTAATCCTCCCGCTGCAATTTGAATTTTTCCACAATGTAATAAATAATTGCCGCTGCAGTGTGAGAATTAACGAGAGTTGTACAACAAGATTAGTCTGCAAGAAAATAACGTTAGATTAGTGACGACAGAGAGAGAGAGAGAGAGAGAGAGAGAAGATATAGTAAGTTCCGCGCGGATAACGTCGTGCTGGTAAAAACGTCACAGTCGTTGGCAATCACACAATCGAGATCACGGTGTTGTTTCGTTCGCACTTGATTTCCGTACCGTGTGGAAAAAGTTCATGCACAAAGTGTTACTGATGAGAGTGTGGGTGTGTGAGAGAGGATCAGAAACAAGAACAAACAAATAGGGGGAGAAAATGAAAACTAAAAATCGGCAGTCCTCACCTCGGCGTGGTCGCGAAGGAAGCCGATGGCATCGTCTAGCCTCTGCTGTTCAGGCGCCGGCTTCACACACAACACCAACGCAACAACAAAACCAAAAAAAAAAAAAGAGAACAACCAAGTCAACACAACGTTCACAACAAACAAAAAGGGGTAAATGGTGAACAACAAAAAAAAGTAAAAAAGAACGACATGTAAAATGAACTGGTAAAGAGATGATCGACTTGAATGACTGAACGAGGGGGGGTGGGGGAAAAGAGAGAGAGAGAGAGAGAGAGAGAGAGAGAGAGATGAGTATTAAATTATGTGGTTTGCAACGTGGACAACACACGAGATGGATTGTCGGTGCGTCTGAGAGTGCATGCTACTTTGTGCGAGTATTCAAGTGCAATTATCAGGGGTAAGGTAATGAATAAACAAAACAATTTCTTTATAATTCACGTTGTCTCTGTTCGAGCTGGGTTTCTCTATAAAATTGTAAAAAATGAAAAAAAAAAGAGAAAAACCATTCCGATCCTCCCCCCGCGAGCAGAAATAAAGTCAGTGCGTGTAACGTCGTCTCTCTCGGTTACCGAGAGTCACCAATAGTGCAGACGATAAAATATCGTAAGAGAAGTGAACGAGCACGAGAGGTTTCTGTTACGAACGTCCTTGACCTGTTTCTAAAGCGCACCGAAACGGCGATGAAGCGTGTCTGCGTTCAGAGATGCACCCGTCACTTTTCCAACGAGATCCTCGTGTCTCGTCTAAATCTAGTTTCACCAATAAACTGCACAACGGAGAACTGCAATCTGCTTCGATTCGGCGAATAATCGAGAACATCTGGTTGGAAAAGTGTCCGCGGCGGCCGTGATAATGGGTAGATAAGTATATCGAAAGGAACGAATTAAAAAAAAAAAAAAAAAAAGAAATCGGCGCAATTGCGAAGCTTTGATGCATACCATGTGAATGGTACCACGGTTGGGATCCGCCGTGAAGTGAGGAGACACCGGTGCAGCACCCGGTGCCCAGCCTGGTGCTGAACCTGTCAAAGGTGGTGGCGAACTGACCGGTGTAGATGGGTTGCTGCTGTAACTCGACACCGATTGGTCCGTGGGGTAAATCTAAATTTCACGAGAAGAATCAAAGGAGAGAAAAAGACAATAAGTTAGCTTTCAGATGCTCGCAAGGAGTGTCGCAAAGAGATACTTACTCTGGTGCTTACTACAGATGCGAGAGTCTTGCCGAGGCTGTCTCCCGTGGTGGGTTGCTGGTTCGTCGTGGGTGCAGGGTTGGGCGCGGAGGGTGCGGTAGTGGGTGCACCAGGACTATGACTATATTGCAACGAGGCCGGGGATGGTGCACCGGTACCACTATTCGCCGCAACTGCGCCGCTACCCCGGAATGTCGACATTGGTGGCAGCGAGGCCGCACTGGTCACCGCCGAGCCCAGAATCGGCGCCGCCGGTTCTCCGTTCGGCGACATGGCAGAGTATGCCTGTAATCATTCGCCGAAATATCTCGTTTTAACCGTCTAGTATCACTCGGAGAAGATTAGATTTGTCAAAGGAAGAAACTACACTCAACTTGGTTGAGCAACCACGATGGTGGATAGAGAGAAGTGCAAAGTGTTTCTTCTTTTTTTTTAAGGAACATCGCGGAATTGCAAGAGTTGACTGACGATTCAGCCTACGACCTTTGAATCCAACTGCGGGGGTTCATAATGGACCGAACCAGAACGGCTTTGATATCGGATACGCTTAGTGGCGTGTAGCCTCCTCGCTTGCACCTACTGAAGCTCGCTCGTAAAACGTCTAATTTTAAGCATCGTCTCGGCCCGAACAGCGAAGAGTATTTATCAACAAATTAGAGGGAGTTTGCACGCGACCCTCGCTCGATTTCACGAGCCGAG